GTTATGAGAGATCTCTAATTAAGAGAAATTGGACTTTTTGAGAAAAAATTTTTTTTTTTTCCTAATTTTTTTATGTATTAATCCGAAAATTTCATTTAAATTCTATGTATTTAAAAGAAGGGATGTGATAATATAAGTTCATAATAAAGTAATTACCTATTAGGATCGATTTATGATTTATTTAAGATGTATGTTATATGTTATGAATATGCTTATGCGGTTAACTAAATATTTTAGTATATGGCTAGGTGAATGTATATTAGTGAGCTTAAGGGAAGTGATTAGATATGACTTAAGAAGAGTTAAAGAGGTATAGAGAATTGAATTGACATAAGAGGCTTATGTTGTAATTTTTCCCTTAGGTTTCGAAAAGAGAAATTAATGAGAGGTTGGTAAAGTGAAGACTTTCAAAGGGCAATTGAGGTAGGAATCTTTTACTCTACATATTCATATTCCTTTATGTTTTTATTGTTCCTTTATATTTTATTCTTTAGTTGATATGATAAATAGCAAATTCATATCTTTAGTTGATTTGATACATAGCAAATGTATATCTTTAGTTGATTTGATACATAGCAAATGCATATGAAATGTCTTTATTATTTGATAGAAATAGAAATGTAGAAATATTTTTATGAATTAATGCATAGTTGATATTTAAAATTCTTAGTATTTTATAGAAGTTTCTTTCATGTACTTACTTCATAATCAAGGCATATGGTTGTTATGAAAATATTATATATCATACCTATATTTCTATGGAAAGATTATGTAAATAATTGTGCATATTGAAGGCGGAGTACCAAATATGGTGTGAAAGCACAAATATGGCTCTTATGAGTAATACGAAACAATATGGCCCTTTGGGGCAAAAGAGGAAAGAAAACGAATGGCCAAAAAGATGTTTGTGTACCTGATCAGTACACTCATGGTACTCCGGTATGGTTGTATAAGATAAAACATGAGTAAGCATATGACATACATAAGCTATAACATACATAAGCAATGACATCCATACGACATATGGCATACATAAAGCATATGACATACAAAAGATATGACATCCATAAGACACATGGCATACATAAGGTATATGACATATATAAGGCATCTAACATTCATAAGACACATGAAAATTAGCATGTGTAGCAAAACAATCAAGGCTTTTCACTTCTAGCATACATGTAAATCTTCTTTTATTATAGGCATGTGAAGATGTTAGGTTAGTGTTTTCTATTGAGAGTTAGCTTACTCCCTCGTGTTGGGATACTTTTAGGAGAACCAGCTGCAAAGAATGGCTGACCATCATTGGTTCACCTACAGTCATAGAGAACCGGCTGACAGGTTTTTTTTATGTTTTTTTTAGTTCTAATTTACACCTTTTTGGGTGGTTTGACATGTTTGATAATTTTTTTCAACCACCTTTGTACATGTGAATCCTCTCTTGAAGGGATATGAAATATTTTGTATATTTGAAAAAAAATTTAGAAGCGCTTTTAGTTTCTTGTGAAGTCATTTAGATTAATTCAATGCATGTTTTAAGAAAAGTTTATGTTCTGAACGTCCGATTCCGTTCCCGCCTAGTCCACACAAGCTCATTGGGCTAGGTCGTGACAGATGAATTTTTTTTTTCTTTAAAATTACTGTGTATCGTAATAGGATAAGAGGATGAATTTGTTCTCCTAATGTAAATCGACTTCTTTTCCTCTTGTAAATAATCTAAAGCATAAATTTTATCATTTGTACAAGAATTCCAATAAAAAATAAGCTATATGAAAATCCTTAAACTTTTATCTCACTTAAGCTCCTTATTCAACTCAAATTTCCTTCCCACTCCCAAACTTTCTTTATGTGTTCCCTACATTTCCTTCTATTCTTCCTTCTCTACTTACCGATTTCTAAATTTCTCTCCAAGCATCTTACAGCAGCCCTCACTCCCTCTACATCACGACTTGCTTCGAACTCCAGAGGAACTATGGGTGAGGAATAGAAGAAAATGCATTTACTTAATTTTATTTTGATATATAAAACACTAGTGCTCTTTACACTCAAACATTCCCATATCACTCTCAGCCATTTGATTTCAGCCCTTAAAAATCCACCCTTGGATGCTTGGCTTAGCGGAAATTGGATGCTAATGCTACAGTAATATTAAATTAATTATATTTTAATTTTTATAAGATAAACTGAATGTTGCAGCACATTTAGTTAATTAAATACATAGATTGATGGAAGCTATAGTGGAGGATGCATGATACAGATAAGTGGATTTAACTAGAAATTAGGCTGATTTAACTATAGTAATATTCATTAATTGACTTTTAATAACATCAATCAACTGAATCCATACACATATATATCTTTTTGGCTATTATTTATTCATATCAAAATGCTCAATATTAAACATTAAATTTAATGAAAATAAATTTGATGTTTTCCATATGTGTGTGAAAATGACGTAAATTTTAAGGAAAAATTCAAGCTTACATTTTTTAAAATTTTGGGTATTATAAACCCCGGCAGAAAACTAAGGAAAAAACTATCCCGTGCATTCTACCCTTTTGTGGTTTCAAACCAGGAAGAAGACACTTATGAAGCAGCTCATCCATCTCTGCAAGAGTGACAAGATTAATTTTCCAGAGCTTGACATTACCACAGGCTCAGAATTACCAAATGCAGCAATATAATACAACGTAGAAGCACCTGTCTACTTAAATGTTCTGAAAAACTGCTGCCTAACAAAATTTGATCCTTAAAAAGGAAACTGCATCCAAATGAACTGGACCCAACAAAAAAACTGACATTTGCACAATGGTAATCTTTCCAACGTATTTGCATGTATTACTGCTAGTTTAACAATTTTCATCTTAAAACTATAGTTCCTAACCATCTTGTTATTAACTACAGTTAGACAAGTTCATACGCCTTAACTAAATCAAATTCTAGCTTGATGTACATTTTAAATTGTCGGTTCGGAAAGAATTAAATGCATCATTTATGATGAGATCATCGACAGGAGATTTAGGCGCGTGTATCAGAGACGACATCGGAGATCGACGGCCATGATAGAGGGCCTCTACTACTGATGACTTGTTGTACCTGCATTTCATATATTACTTGCTTATTTTCAGTTTTTCCCATTTTACCCTTGTGGGTGTTTGTTTTCTCTTGTAGCCCGAGGGGCATTTTAGACTTTGTACTCTCTTTCATTTGGAGCCTATTTAAATGGCCCTTGTATCTTGTATGAGCTAATGACTAGTTGGATAAAATTTCCTTATGCTTTGTTCTCTTTGTGAATTCAACATTGTGAGATCTCTTAGAGAGTTCTTTGTGATCTCTTTGTGAGTTCACGTGGAGAAATCATCCAAGGTCCGCAATATGTAGTTTCTTGCTTCTTCTCTATTGAAGATCCCAAGAAAAGAAGAGGAGACAAAGAAGCCCGAGTCCCGTGTTGCCACCGCCCTCCCTTCCCTAAAGCTACCCGCCGGCCCCATAGCCTCGCCAGCCTGCCTCCTTGCCGCCGGCCTCCCTTTTTTTTTCCACCACCTCCGCCACCTCTCCCTCTCCAACCCTTCATTGAAATTTGAATTTCAAATTTCAATTTCTTTCCTAATTTAGAAATTCTATTTATGGAAAGTTTTTTTTTTGAATAGTTCCAAATTTAAATTAAATTGGTTTGGATTTAATTCCAGATTTTCCTAGTCATCTTTTATTTTTGAAAACCCTCTCCCCTCTCCACCTAATTCCCTCTCTCTCCCTAGCAATGCCGCCGGCCTCCCCCTTGGGTTGAATTCCATTAATTGGGTATTTAATTCACCCCCTTATTTGAAATATTATTCAAGTCCAAATTTCGTTTCCCTCCAATTACGCCTAAACTGAAATTACTTTCATTTTTTTCAAATCCCACCCCTCCTCTCTCTACCGCTGGCTCCCTTCATTGCTCCAATCAATTAAAACTCCTTTAATGCCTTAATTGTCATTAATTGGAGAAATCAAATCTCCAATTTTCCCTCTCAATCCCCCTTAACTGAAATTATTTTCAGACTTCCAAAGCAAATCAACTCCTCTCCCTCTCTCTACCGCCGGCACTCCCTCTTCCTCCCCCTCCACGCCGTCCCCTCCTCCCCATGGGCTTGTGGTGACGAATCGGCTTCCAATTCATGGTGTATGGCAGATCCCGCCGTTGATCACGGGCTTTTCTACGATATCTACGAAGCAATTCACGTCTTAAGATCCCCTTTCTTCGACGTGGGGTTTGGCTTCGACAACACCGTCGAAGAATACTTGGATCAGATTCTACCAACACTAGTGGACTCCATCGACGACCAATTCTCCGACTACACGTGGATCATCGAAGGTCACTCCACCGTGCCCCCTCTGCCTCCAAGTTCCTCCTCCACGGCGACGTTCATTGGCTCCACCATCCTTGTGGCAACCTCACTTCTATCCTGGACGATCTTCCGCCGCTCAACCTAGTTTCGTAGGAAGAGAGAAGAGGCCTCAAGGTGAACAACTCCTTATTAATTGTCGGATTTAAATCCCTAGCTTTTAACTTTACGTTTCCCTTTGTATTGGCTTAGATTGTTTGGCTACTTCTTTCTTGTAATTCCTTTGGCCTAAGCAAGTGGAACACTCCGAATCCTTGTAACCAAGTTTAATTTGAAGCATGATTATATAAGTGGTTAAGTTATTATTCAATGTTCTTTTAATTTCTTGTAACTCAACTCTTGCATCACATCAATTTACATTCATTTTCTGTATAGAACAATGTAAATCATCTTAAACAGGTTCTTCTCCAGCAAAGACAATAGAAGTTATTGCAAGTATTACTACCAAAAGCCAATCAAAAATCCATCGGGGCTTCACAAAATACCCATAAAAAGTGGAGGCAGTGCTTAACCACAACAATCTAAGTTAACATGCCTTTAAAAGCAAAAACTATGACCTATTGTCCTTTTCACCCTAATCATCAAAGAAAAAGTATTCTCATTTTGCCATACCTATGTTCACGTTCATACAAAGAAACACCCAGAGTGAGCAGTTTTGAGTAAACCCACCAAGCTGAGAAATAATGGAAGAACCGCAGCTGAGTTCCAGAAACAGGAGACATGATTTCCTCACTGAAATTAGCGAGCATCTGATTATCAGATAATTCAATACATCGCCTTGACATTTCCATGTCGCTTTGATCAATTGATTCATCCATTATTTGAGCCACCTCAATAGCCTATTAAAGTTTTCAGATTAAGTTGGAATGGTTTGGTCAACAAAAGTATTTATGAAGGGAAACATTTTCACCTCTTCGTATTCAAGGAGATCAGCTCGACACTTAAATATTGGTTGTGTAATGGTGCAGGTAAACTCTGGAAATTTTATCAGCCCCATATCAACCAACAAGAAAGCCGAAAGATCTTGTTCACTATTGAGAAAAAAGAGCCTCTGGGAAAACGCATGAAAAGTATTACAAAGATAACAGAAGTAGAGCGACAGGGTTCAACTTTGTTAGCAATCTCATCATAGAATCACCTGAACGCGCCAAAGAATTGCATCAACAGCAGAAGAAATCATCACACATTTGCCTGCATGCTCTAGAACCATTTTTTGAAGAACTGCGCTGCTGATGCAGATCAAAAAGTAATAATTATTCAAATGTCAATTAACTACAAGATTTTCAAACACAAATTTAGGTTACCATGATCCATTTTTGCTAGCAGATAAAATAAATTCTATGATCTCTTTCTTGCGCCGATGATGCATGCCTTTCTAAAGGTTCAAAAGAAAATGAATGAGAGGAAAATAAAAGTGCCTAAATCAAAGAGCTATGCGATAAAATCACATTTCACAAAACAAAAAATAAAATCCATAAAACTCAGAAGTTTCCATGCATTGTGTAAACGATGGCATAAGACTTTAGATCAGATCTACTATGACCTCTCATTTAAGATGCATAAGCATATGCACATACAAACTCTCAAACACACGTAGTAAAAAACTTGGAAGTTGTTGTCATGGCCTTGTGTTTGATCTTTTGTCAAAGCAAATCCCAAAAAAAAGTAATAATAAGTTGACCTTCATATTATACCCAAAGGAACAAAAGAGAGGAGAAAGCAAAGTGAAAATCCTGTGTACATACCTCAAACCCGTCGGATCCTCGAATCATGCTGAGATCGCACCGATTCGGTGCCGTTCGCATCACTTCTCTGCAAACCCAGTGCAAATCCTGCATCGTTGCCTCGATCGAACCTCAAAATCGTCGTTAAATACCATAGCAGAGGGAGCATTCGGCTGTTCTCTCCCATGACACTCTCTGCTTCTCCTGAATCCCGAAACCTCTCCTCTATACACAGAGCATCCATGGTTTTTTCCTCCCAAACTCCTCACCCGACGTCTAGCTCTCGAACCTAGCCGGCTTCTTCCTTCCTGATCTTCACAGAGAGAGAGAGAGAGAGAGAGAGAGAGAGAGAGAGAGATTCTTCCCCATACCTTTCCGCCGGACCGAACTCGAGCCCCTCTTTGTCTTCTCCGTCGTGGTTGCCCGACTTAGCTCCCTCGACAACTTTCCCTTCCAGGTCGGATCGAAAGTTACGGCATTTTGAGCGGGACCGGCGACGAGAGCCGTCCACAATGAAGGTAATCTTCTCTCATTCGTGCTCTTCTTCGGCCAAATCCCTGAACTTGTCGAACCAGAGAGTGAGGGAGAGGGATCTTTTGTTTTTATTATTATTATTATTATTTTAAATTATAATTAGTTAGTTTAAATTATGAATTAATATTAATTAAAATTAATTATGATTAATTATTTTAATTATAATTAAGATTTGATTAAACATAATTACGTAGATAATTAAGTTCAATAGCCTTAATGTATAAGTTATTTGGAAATTAAATTATCATGAATTTTAATTAAAAATTATTATACTAATTTATCTTTAAATAGATAATTAATTATTATCATCATTAATTATCATATTAATTAATTCATTAGTTTATTATATTAATAATAATTATTAATTAAATTGTATATTAAATTATAATTAATTAAACCTATTTATTTACTATTATTTTCTATATATAATAATTAATATCATAAACGAAATATATGGAGTTGTAATTTTAGTAGTAATACCTAAGATGGGGAGTGACTTTGGCGATCAATAGCATTAATTAAAAGTTACACTTTTAGATATCTTGATCTATTTTTTTCCAGAGTGATGGTGAAATAGATGGGGATGTTATCGACAGATTCAAGTTGGATGGTAGTTGAGTGGAGGAAGCATCGGGCTTGTATTATGGATAGAAATGTGACCCCTCAAACTTAAGGGAAAATTCTATAAATGGTAGTTGAGCGCCTGCAATGCTTTATGGGCACGAATGTTGGCCTTTAAAAAGAAAGGATATACTAAAAGTTAAGTGGGCAGAGATGAGGATATGCTTCAGGTGGATGGAGTGGCCTTTACCTTAGAGTAGGATACGAAATGACAAACGTGAAAGGTTGGGAGTAGCTCCAGTAGAAGATAAATTAGAAAAAGTCGCCGTAGATGGTTTGGGTCACATAAACGGGGGCCTTGCGATGACCCATTAGGAGAGTAGAGGCATAGATTGACTTATGTTTAGAAAGGTAGGGGTAACCTAAAAGACTTCGGTTAGAAAATATTAGAATGACCTATTCTTTATTTGATTTAAACGAAGAATTTGACTTATATGAACAATGGAGAAAAAGGATTCATGTAGCCGACCCCACGTAGTGGGATAAAGGCTTGATGTTGTTGTTGTTGTTGTAATCATAAAAATAAAACAAAAATGCCTTTTCCTTCCCTCAATCCTCGTGCCAACATCTACAACCCCGCGAAGGTACGAAACTCCATAAACTCAGATTCTCACTCTCGAAGTTAGCGGCGGACCGGAAAACCGCCCACGCATGCCTTTGTTGCGCGTGGTGGGATGGGACCCGGTGCAGCGCCTACGACGAGGCGGGTATTCATCTAAAAAAACCTACTTCAAAGTTCGTGGCAGACCGGAAAACCGCCCCATGCAGGCCTTTGTTGCGCGTGGTGGGATGGAACCCCGGTGCGACACCTACGGCGAGATGGGGTCACTCATAAGTACCTCCGAGCGGGGGGAAACAAACTGCTTTTTTCAAAAAAATACTTTTTAAAACCCCATTTTGACCCCCACCCTACAGTTAATCTGGAGTGTAAATGGAAAGGAGAATTTAGAGAGACATATCTCTTACTAACACTCATCCTGAAATACTTTTATAAGGATTAAATGAGTTAGAAATAACCTATCCAAATTATCCCAACACAATAAGGTTTTCACATCTTAATTGAAATTAATATTTCATAAATGGAAGCATATTTAAAATACATCAAATAAATATATAGCTTTATTAAACTTTCAAAAAACATTTACATGCCCAAATGTTTTTTTATATAGCTTCTACTATGTTTTCTATACAAACCCAAAATGTATGTACACAAAAAGTGGATTAAACCTTCTAGCTTAGTGTCTCACTGGTAACATAACCTCTCCTGCAGTGCAACCACTATTAATGAACTAGAACTCAATGAAATACTCAAATATAGTAGAAGAAAAAGAAATATATTTGCAGTCAATTGACAACAACATAGGATTCATATAATAATCATAATAATTATAAGTTGTATAAAACATTAATGTTTTCCAACTTTCTTGTTCAGTTTACTATTCAATATTTTAGACAAGTCATATGATAAATATAGGCTTTTGCACAATGACGGCTCTCTAATTCAAGGTTAGTTTCATATTCCCAACATTTAGACTTAGAGGATAGGTCTCTCATTCAAGAAAGGGTCTGAATTCTCAACTTTTAGATGTGAGAGAACATAGGGTACCTTTTTTATGAATTCTCTAAGGCTTACCTCGTCAGGTCTTTCGCCTTTAATTGTACGGGTCTATCCCCCATATATGACTTATGTCATTTAGCCTTTTCATTTACCTTATCATAACAATCATCCAGAAATGCCATTGCATCGAATACTTGATGAACTTGTTGAACCAGTAATTTAAGACATAATGAAACTCAAAATAAAGCTATCACAATAATATAAAAAGATGTGATCGTAATTATATAAAGTTTGCAATTTCATATACTATAGTTTGGGTATCTCACCTCATTCTCTGGAGTAGTCGGGTGAATTTGTTCATCTACAGTATCCTGATCTCCCTTCCTCTTATATACAACCTAAATCATATATTTCTTCATTCATACATGACGTTTTTAAATAGAATAACACAGAAATTATGAAACTACAGCATTACCTCAATTGCACTCTTCCCTATTAAACCCAAACTTCCTCACCTCCTATTCCCTTCTTCCTCACTCTCTTATTTCCCTTCTTCCTCACTTGTTTCCCTTTATTTCCTCACTGATTTCAGCTTTCCTCTTATTTCAGCTTTATCTCCTCATCGATTTCCACAAAAGATGATTTCAGCACAAACACTGATTTTAGCCATTAAATTCAGCACCTAAGCAAATATAATTAATAACCACTGATTTCCTTACCTTTCTTTACTTACCTCACCTGATTTCCGAATTTCACCAGCAGATCCCCCGTTTCTAAAACAGCTCACGGCCTGCTATGTATTTTCCAAAGAACAAGGTGATGGATGATGTGAGCCTGTGAGAAAATAGAGGGGTGAAATGTTGAAGGCTTAAGTTTAACTTTTATATATATTCCACAAAAGCTCCGCTATAGCTCCACTAACATTTCCAATACCCACTCTCAGCCATAAGATCCCATCAGGTCGTTGCATGCCAGGCTTAATGAAGTGAGGGAATCATGCTACAGTAACAATTAATAACTTAATAGGTAATCAAATAATTTAAGTTTAATTAATAGGTAATTAAATAACCTATGTTTAATCAATATGAAATGCATATATGATTAAGCTTGTAATTTAAATATACTTCAATATATCAAAATGTTGGAATAAAAAATAGAATTTAGTGAAAATAGGTTTAATATTTTAGGGAGGTGTGATAAAATGGGGTAAATTTTGAGGAAAACTTCATGCAATGTGGTCTCCGAAAATTCGGCCCCGGCCCTCCCCGCTCGCTTTTCTTTTTATTTGGCGAGGGAGTTTTAACTGAATAAGTTCTGGGGTAAATTTTGGAAGGCAGATGGGTTTGTAGATAAGACACTACCCAGAGATTTTGCCCTCATTTTGCGAGGACTTTATGATCTGAGTTCTGGTTTCCTATAGGCGCAAGCCCCTATAGTTAATTACCCCTCCCGATCACGAGAGAGAACTTTCGATTAAGGCTAGTCGTCAATCAGATACGTAGAATATACGTGTTATCTGGCATATAGTAGCAGCAATAGGTATGGATTGGAATTTGAAGAGTTTGGAAGGTTTTGTTATTTAAAATAGAAATTGCACCATCTTAAGCGGATGGTGGGGGAATGGATGATTGACCCGATAAAGATCCCATGGTTCCGTCGTCCCGGGCCATCGTGGTCCCTGGTCTACTTAGTCAGAGGAGGTAGTCGACCCAACCTGACAGAAAGATCCTT